GGGCCAACCTTATACTTGGTTTGGACAGGAGAGCTGAGCTCTTCCGTGTGTGGTTTTGATAGGCTACAATACACTTTCATAAGTTAAAAAGAAAAGTCCAGGAAAGTTGTACTGACAGTCTGAAAATCCTCATAAATTATAAAAAGTTAAAAATATATAACCTGAAAGCCATTGAACTTATTTAACATAAAAAAAAATCTAAAAACAAAGCAAGTTCAAGCTATTTTTTACACAGTTTATGAATGCTCTATTCCATGTAACCTACTTTTAGGATTCATCCAGAAATTTTTTAAAAATTAGGTCAGTTCCATGATGGCAAATTTCATCCAATAAAGTACTTGCTTTAGAAATCTTACACAAAAATTTTCTTGTCTGGATCTGTCTTAACAATCTAAAACTTAGCAAACAAAATCCTAAAACCCAAATCTGGGGGTGGGGAAATCAAGAGGTTTCTTTCCCTGACTTTGTTTTTGCAGTTGAAAACCTTGCTTCACCAAAAAGTATTTCCAAAATGGAAAATTTGGTTTCAATTATCATGGTTAATGTGCATGTACATCTGTTTGAGGCAGCAGTGATGTTCTAAGTCATGTATCCTCAGAAAATATCTGTCTGTTGCTCCTGGATCAGGGGTAAACAGAAAAGCTCCTTTGGCTCAGAAGTTCCCTGAGGTTCACAGGCAGGCTCTCCTGAATAGGAGCCAGCCAGTAACTGTCCTCCAAGAACACCCCACACAAATTCACCGCACAGTGCTGGGTACATGGTGCCCCTCTCAAGCAGGGTCATCCCTATACTTCTGATGAAGAAAATAACCATAATTTTAAGAAAATTGGACAATCAAGTTTCCTTTTTTATGGTGCTTTTTCCAAAAATTGTGGTGCTGGATAACTCTTGCAGATTTGGCCTGAATTTTCTTCTATTGTGGTAAAATATGTGTAACATAAAATTTGCCATTATAACCACTCTTAAATGTACAGTTCAGTGACATTAAGTACATTCATACTGTTGTACAACCGTCTCCATAATTCTTTCATCTTCCCAAAATGAAACTCCAAACCCACTTAATAACTCCCCATTCCTCCCTCCCTCCAGCCCCTGGCAACCATTTTACTTTCTGTCTCTATGAATTTGACTAATCATGTAAGTTGAAATTTTATTTTAATCCATCCACAAGGCTTTTTTCCAGAACTGAAATAAAATCCCAACAGCAAGGGCAATTGCCATTTTCAATGTCTACCTCTCTACACACACGCTCACGCAGACACTACTTATTACTATAGTAGCTAAGACCCACAGACCCTTTTCCTTTGCAAAACAGAAGACAAAGTCACCTTCTTCCGACTGAGCACGCCACAGTCATTGTCCCATGTGGACGTGGGGAAGACTTGGCATCAGAAAGTCCAGCAAAGAGCTGGAAATCTTGGGGGATACAGCAAGGGTGAGAGCAAATTCATAGGTTCTTCTTAAGATTTTGGCCTGAACCAAGGGGTATCCAGCTCATGGTTCCAAACCACTAAGACAACTAGATGCCACAGGGTGTCTATAAAAAGGATTAAGGTAGATCTTGGTAAAACCTAAAAGAGGAAATGCCAAGCCCTGTGAGGTATCTTACTATAAGGAGATAGTTCAAGGAAGAAGCAAGATGATGGCCTGATAAGCTCTCCCTAGTTTTCTCGTGGAAATGGTCCCCTATAATCTGCTTCAGATGATAAATATAGAAAGGCCCTAAAATATGTCTTGGTTAGTACCCCAGCAACGAGGCACACAGCAATAGGTGGATACCGGTGATAACAGCAAGTACCATCTACTGAGTACTTACTTTGTGTCAGAGAAAGTTTACTAGGTGCTTTACGCATATTGTCTCATTTAATCTTCGCAACTCTGTGAAATATAAATACTGGTATTTCTCCCTTTACACAGAAAACTTAGTTGTGAAAAAATGTGACATGCTCAAGGTCATACTGTTTATAAAGTAGACTCACTACTAGGTCTGTGTTACTCCAAAGCCCATGCTTTTAATTAATAGCCATTCAAGGTAGAAGGTATTTTCATACCCTCATGGCAAAGAAAGAAAATTGTTCATTAGAAAACTCATGGCTGAAAATTTTTAATGCTTAAAAACAGTCCCAATTAAGCTTCAGCAGGTTAAGTGTGGAACAGGCACCAGATTCAGGATCTCTCCAGTCTCTGGAGGTTGGACATGTGATCGTAGGCCAGTCACTTGGCTTCTCTGGCCCTCGGTTTCCCAAGGAACTTGTAACACAAAGCTACTTTCCTCTGTTCTCCACCTGCCTCAAAGCATTCCATGGGGTCAATTACCCATGCTGAGATAATAAGGCTGATATCCAAGGATGAAGCTACTGACTAAAGGTTTCAATTTCACCAACTTTCTTTTTAGTTATCAGAATGTCTCAAAAAAGTTATTAATCAGCAAGTAGCTATCCAGCACCTGCTACTGTGCACCCATATAGGAACGTTCAAAAGTATTATACAAGTCACTGTTCTTGCCCTTGGGGACCTGTCTCCAAGTTGGGGAACTTGTAAGATACACAGAATAAAAGCACAAAAAGAGCTGATGGGCCTATTATTCAGTACTCAACTATGAGATACAAACTATTAGAATTCAGAAGAACATCAGCCAGGACTAGAAACGTGGAGGTTTCCAAGACAAAGTAGAATATTAACACATTAACTGCCATGTGAGTTGTATTTAACTCACTCTAGTTTTGAGCCAGGGCCTCGTGAAGCATATGGAACTCACGTGTCTCTTCGCCTTGGGAGCCAGGAGAATTATTTTTCAAGTTGCATATAACCCATGCACAGGAAACAATAAAAAATAACAAATTTTTCATTAAATTAGAAAGGGTCATTTTGTTTTCAAAGTTTTTATTCCATTTTCATAATAAACACCGAGTCCCCAAGGAAAAAATTTTCTTTTCTACGGTGGCAGCCAATGTGTTAAAACAACCTTGACAGAAAATAATTTCTGGAAAAGAGGAAAGGAAAGGTATCCAGCAAAAGGAACTCTGGGGGCTAATGCTACGAGGCGGAATGAAGTAATATACAGGATGAGTGATCATGTAAGTGACTGAAAGAATTCTTAGTGGTTATATGAGCAGTAGAAATGGAAACAGGAGCCAGAGTACAGAGGACTTTAATGCATGGCATGGTAAGTTGGATTTACAAAAGGTAGCGAGCTGGGTGACCTGGTGAATACTGAAAGCTGTTCAGTTTGGATTTCTTGTCTACTCTCTACCTCCAGTAGAGGAAAAGCCAAAGAACATGAGCAATCAGGTTCTAAAGCTGTAGACATCAGCAATACCAGCTGAGAGGCACTGGGGTGTTGAAGAGCAGCAGAGCTCCTTGGGAGCAGGGACTCACTACATTTCTGGACACAGAACTGGGAACATAGTGCCCAAAAATGCTTGATGAGCTGCTGGTAGTCTCATATTGACCTCTCAACCCCAATACACCACTGGTCAAGTAAATAGGTGTGGTCCAGAATCTCTAAACCTACATCACATCACCTCTGCACTCTGCTAGCAACCAGACGAACGGGAGAAAGTGAGGATATTGCCCACCTCTGCCCTGTGCCGAGGAAAAAGGCTTCAGATGCTCCCTTGCCCAGCATAGATGCAGTTCAACACCAAGCCGCTGTTGCAAAGAGCACCCAGAAAGAGGCTGCACCAGCAGCACACTCAGTCTGAAAAGTCCCAGACTCTTCCTGTGGGAGTGACATCCAGAAACACAATCCCTGGGGCCTCTTCACGCAGGAAGATGAGATGACACCGAACCATCATGTCAGTTCTAATAGGGTCTAGAGATGTTTAATAACATCACCTGTCCCATGAGATATAGGAATCAGGACAACTCATGCAAAGAAAAGCACTTACTGAGGTACTCTCCAAAACGTGTTCACTTAGTTGAGCCTGTTATCATTTAATCAGCCAGTTATTGTCCGTATCAAACTGGAACTCAGAGCAGCAGCCTTCCCCTCAGCGGGGCACTGCCATGGCCTGACCCCTGCCCTGCAGGCTTCTCTCCTCAAAGAAAATGGCAAGTCTTTTCTCTACCAGCCACGGACCCACAGAATGAAGAGGCTGGCATTCAGGAGATGTTTTAGTTCATAGACAGAGGAATGACCTGTCCCTGCACAGTACCGAGCACTTTCACAATGAAAGAATCAAATCTTCAGATAACAGTTTTAAAATGTATATGTATGTGCCTGCCAGAAAATGAACCCTCGCTAGTTAGATCCAGCTCAACACAAGTACTTAAAATCTCTTCTGCAGATTCCTATTTCATGAGAAATCCCTGATGGAAGAAACAAGAGTTCCTCTACAGCACAGACCTTCCAGTATCGCTCATAAACTTTTCAATACAAATGAAACTCAGTTCAGAGCAAGTGTCATCTGACTGGGTTTCTCTCCTTCGTCCCTGAACGTGTATGTATACAGGCACATTCACGGCCAGTGTGTGTACGCGTGCCAACACACGCGAACACACACACAGCCATCAGCATGGCATGCCTGCTGAAGATCTGAGCACTTCAGTGAAGAAAATGCAAACACTCTATGCCAGACCAGCCCTGCTATGACATCAAAAACCCCCACCAAAGAAAAAACACCCCGGGAAAGTAGCCAGGAAAGGGAAACGCCTCCCTGAAACAGCCTGCTAAAGGCAATCCTGATTCAGCCTATGCTGAAACTATTCCCGAACACCAGCCAGGAAGTGCCTTCTTTCAGGGTGCTCCACTGCCCAGTAAACCCAGATCTGCCTTTGCGGAAGCCAGATCTCCGGAGAGTCAAGTCTTGGAAGGAGTGGGTTTGGAAAGGGGCTTCCCTGCTCTCGCTCTGCCGTTCTTTGGGATCCATCAGTGGCCAGGTCTTCCAACCCTGCCTAGCCAATGCAAACACAAAAGCCGGTGGCTGCACCAGAAGCACACATTTACTTATACACACACACACACACACACAACACAACCCACACTTACACATACATACCTTTCACCCTCCATTGTGTGAGGCCCAGCAGGGGTGGCAGCTGCTGAACTGTGCGTGCACCCGGGATCCTAGCTCTGTTCGCGGTTTTCCCAGCAGACTAGCGGGAGATCTGATCAGCAACAGTGATTCAGCATGGCTGCAACTGAAGCCTCCTCCCTCTCGATCCTCCTTCCTCTGACTTACTAGCGGCAGCTTCTACCGCAGAAGCAGCGGCAGCAGAAAATGTCTTACCCAGAGCTCCCTGCAGTCCTTTCAGCTGCTAAAAGCAGCAACCCACTTGCTCCCCCTCCCCCGCAGGCTTGCTGCTCCTCGGTCTCCTAGGAACAGTGGCAGCTCCAGTGACCAAGTGCAGTGCCACCTTTCCTGCTGCCTCTGCATCTGCCCAGGCATCCCCAGCCCAGGCAACTAGCCCATCCCAGGGGTTCCTGCCTCCTCTGTCTAGGCTGCAAAGAGCCAAGCAGTTCCTCACCAGCCCGAGAAATACTGGCCCCTACAGTCTCCCCTGCCCCCAGAGGCTCTGAGTCTGTCAGCCTGGCCAGATTGCTGGAATGAGGAGGCCCCTCTGTGGCCTGCAGTGGAGTTTATCCACCTGAGGAAATTCACTTATGGGTCACAGTTAATGTTCCAATTCCTCCTCCTAAAATCTATAGTAGCTCTGAGTGTCTGACAGATGTAGAGAAGTTAAAAGGAAAAGAGTCTGACAGAACTGAGAAGAACACAGAGAGAAATTAGAAAATTAGAAATTATAAAAAAAGGTGGTAAAAGAGGTGAAACTAAAACAAACCCTATTTTACCGCAGAGGCCAAAGTCTATTGCAGTAAAGTCATCTCATTGAACACTACACACATTTATTGCCCTATGCCAAAAAAGACCACCGATTTTATAGCACAATCCTCAAGTCTATCATCTTGGAATTTGACTTAAGTTGTGCCTCCAACTAATAAGTTTCCCATTGAACCCCCATCTCCAGCCAAAGATCTCTCACACCCTGTCATTTCCAGCTGCTGAGTCAATTTAGACTAATTTAACTCTCCCTTCCTGGAGATCCTTTTCCAATTGCAGTCCTTTAGTCTTTCTGGGAGGCAGTGAAATCCCATGTCTTCATAAAACCTTCCCTAATGACACCAATAAGTCAATCACCTCCAAAATGTCAAAGACATTATCAGCTACAAAATGTATTCTCCTTGCTGCTCATCTCACACCTAATATATTGTCTTGGGTAATTCGTTATTTATATATTTCGTCTATCAAACTAAAACAAAATATCACGGAAGGCAGGGGCCAGTCTGTGTCTCCTAGCCACAGCCAAGAGGCTTAGAGGTAATTGGGGCAATTAGCCACAAAGACTGGTTCAGAAGCTCCCCTGATGCTTCAGAAAAATCAGACATGAGTATCTCTATTCTGGGACCTCTCAGTGTTACACCTGAGCTTTTCAGGATCTGCACTAGTACTCACTGGCTGAGTGACTTTCCTAACTAGCCTTTTCCCCACTCTGGACCTCATGCTCCGTTCCTCAGACACAAGGTAGTGTCAGACCAGACAATCTCTGGAGTCCCCTTTCAGCTCTAAAATCAACAGGATTCTAAAAACGTTTTAAATGGCCCATTTTTCTTCTCAATCTGTGTGATTGTTTAACAAGAAATATTTACTAGACTAATGTCTTGTAGGGGGCTTCAGGGAGGATAACGCGATGTATGTGAAAGTACAGAGATACTCAATAAATTTCTTTAGTACTACACAGCCCTGAAACCACAGAAGGGAGGAAGGAACACTGAGGTAACAGAAATTAAAGTAACTAAAATTTTATACAGCCTCCTGAATTCAAACTAGCTAGGGTGTTATTCTCGAATATTACCTCCCCTGACACCTCAGTGTCCTCTTAGATGAGGCCATTACCCAAACTCTCTTTCCCAAGTGAGAAGAGGGCTGGGTGATTTTATTTACACCCTACAGCTCTGAATCCTCACTTCTTCCCTTTATGACAATACTCACAACTTTCTCCCTCTAAGTCCCTTCCTCCTCTAATCGGCCTTACGGCTCTGCTCCAGATATTTCCTCTTGAGGTCAATCACAGGGACTACAAGAAGCTGAACATCACAAATAAGGAAACTGGACTCAGAATCCCCGCCAGAGCGCATTCACCAGGAAGACAAATGGGTGATTCATAAAAGGGACATAAAAGGACATACCTTCTCCTTTGGACATACCCATACTCGTGTCTTCACCATACAGGAAGGGGGGAAATGCCATATCTAACAAACCAGAGAGAAAGAAAAAGGTCAGAAAAGGACATATATAAGGGCTAAGCATATTCAAGTTTCAAAATACAACTATTAAGAGCCAGTATAAAAATCCTGCAGAATTTCCTTCGCAACCTACTTTTGCAACACTAACCAATGTCACTACAATGTATGTGTCAAAACCATACTACTATCATCCGCATACTTTATTCACCACTCACTATTCATGAGAGGCAAGCACAACAGAGAACACTCAGAGAAGGCCATTTAGAAAAGAAAGGTCATCTAGCAAAAGCAGGGGCAGAGCTAAGCCAAGAAGCAAAGTCTCCAGACTCCAGTCTCCTGGCACAAAGTTCCTACCCTAATTTTCTCCAGTTTCAGAGCTACATTTTACATTTTCTACTTTAATATCCATATGTTCTCTGAGCTCACCACAGCCTGAACCTGTTTGCTGTAGACAAATTTTCCTGACTACACTTCAGATAAAGGACAGTTGCTACTGGATTCTTGCAGTAGAGGACAGTCAAAGTAACCAAAGTAGTGTCTGCCTGGAGGAAACAGTCTCATCCTCAGATTGCCCAGTAATTGGCCATTTGTCTATCTTCTTTTGAAAAACTTCTGTTCGTGTCTTTTGCCCACTTTTTAATGGGGTTGTTTTTTCTTTGCTGATTTGCTTGAGTTATTCGTAGATTCTGGTTATTAGCCCTTTATCAGATGTACAGCTTGTGAATATTTTCTCCCATTCTCTAGGTTGTCTATTTGCTCTGTTGATTATTTCCTTAGCTGTGCAGAAGCTTTTTAATTTAATCAAGCCCCATTTATTTTTGCTGTTGCTGTGATTGCCATTGGAGGTCTTCTTCATAAATTCTTTGCCTAGGCCAATATCTAGAAGAGTTTTTCCTACATTTTCTTCAAGAATTCTTATGGTTTCATGCCTTACATTTAAGTCTTTTATACATCTTAAATTAACTTTTGTGACTGGTGAGAGATACGGATCCTGTTTCATTCTTCTGCACATGGCTATCCAATTTTCCCAGCACCATTTATTGAATAAGCCTTCTTTTCTCTGGTGTATATTGTTGTCTGCTTTGCCCAAGATCAGTTGGATGGTTTTATATCTGGGTTCTCTGTTCTGTTCCATTAGTCTATGCCTCTATCTTTTCCGCGCTAATACCATACTGTTTTGGTTACTATAGTCATGTAGTATAGTTTGAAGTCTGGTAATGTGATACCTTCAGATTTGTTCTTTTTGCTTAACATTACTTTGGCAATTCAGGCTCTTTTCTGGTTCTAAATGAAACATAGAATTATTTTTTTCTAGATCTGTGAAATATGACATTGGTATTTTGATAGGGATTGCACTGAATCTGTAAATCATTTTGGGTAGTATGGACATTTTAACAATGTTGATTCTACCAATCCACGCACATGATATGTTTTTCCATTTGTGTCATCTGCAATTTCTTTCCTCAGTGTTTCGTAGTTCTCTTTGTAGAGCCCTTTCACCTCCTTGGTTAAGTATATTCCTAGGTAGTGTATTTTCTTTATAGCTATTGTGAATGGTATTGAGTCTTTGACTCTCAGCTTGACTGTTATTGGTGTATAGAAATGCTACTAACTTGTTTACATTGATTTTGTAACCTGAGACACTGCCGAATTTATTTATCAATTCCAGGAGTCTCTTGGTGGAATCTTTGTGGCTTTCTAGATATAAAATCATATCATCAACAAAAAGCGATAGTTTCACCTCCTCTTTCCCAATTTGGATAACCTTTCTTTCTTTCTCTTGCCTGACTGCTCTGGCTAGGACTTCCAGCACTACGTTGATTAGAAGTGGTGAGACTGGGCACCCTTGTCCTGTCCCAGCTCTTAGGGGGAATGATTTCAACTTTTCCCCATTCAGTATGATGTTGGCTGTGGGTCTGTCATCTATGGCTTTTATAATTTTGAGACATGTTCTTTCTATGCCTAGTGTGTTGACAGCTTTTATCATGAAAGGGTGCTGAATTTTGTTGAATGCTTTTTTCCCCTCTATTGAGATGATCATATAGTCTTTGTTTTTGCTTCTGTTTACATGGTGAATCATATTTATTGATTTACATATGTTGAACCACCCTTGCGTCCCTGGGATGAAGCCCACTTGGTCATGGTGGATTATGTTTTTGATGTGCTGTTGAATTCAGTTCGCCAGTATTTTATTGAGGATTTTTGCATCTATATTCATAAAGGATATTGGTCTATAGTTTCCTTTTTTTGCTGTGTCCTTTTCTGGCTTTGATATCCAGGTGATACTGGCTTCACAGAATGAGCTGAGGAGGGTTCCTTCCTCCTCAGTGTAATGGAATAACTTCTGCAATATGGGTACCAGCTCTTCTTTCTAGGTCTGGTAAAATTTGGCTGTGAAGCCTTCTGGTCCAGAGCTTTTTTTGTTGGAAGATTTTTTATTACTGCTTCGATCTTGCTGCTCGTTATTGGACTGCTAAGGAGTTCTATTTCTTCCTCCTTGAGTCTTGAGAGGTTGTATGCTTCCAGGAATTTGTCCATTTCCTCTATGTTTTCTAGTTTATGTGCATAGAGATTTGCATAGTATTTATAGATGATAATTTGTATTTCTGTGGTATCAGTTGTAATATCTCCTTTTTCATTTCTGATTGAGCTTATTTGGGTCCTTTCTCTTCTTTTCCTGGTTAATCTAGCAAGAGGTCTATCAATTTTGTTTACCTTTTCAAAGAACCACCTTTTTGTTTCATTGATCCTTTGCATTGTTGTTTGTTGTTGTTTTTGTTATTTTCCATTTCATTTAGTTCTGTTCTGACCTTAGTTATTTCTTTTCTTCTATTGGCTTTGGGTTTGGCTTGTTCTTCCGTTTCTAGTTCCTTGAGATGTAAATTAAAACCACAATGAGACATCACCTTACCCCTGTTAGAATGGCTTTTATTAAAAAGTCCAAAAATAAT